GAAGCGTGGGAACACGGCTGTGACTGCAGGATGACTTTTTTTTTTCAAAGGAAAGGTTATTTTCTTAAATCTAAAACTATTGTCACTGTAAGGAGAGGTAAGTACAAAATCCTTCCAAAATCCTCATGTGGTTCAAATACCACTGGACAATTAAAACTGTTATAAATGAAATATAAATGAAATATAAATGAAATATAAATGAAATATAAATGTATTAATTGAGTAATTTAACCATGTGTCTGCCTTCGAGCTTACAATACACAGATGGCAGTTTTCCTGTGTGGCTCCTCTGGATTAATCACGCCCTGAGTATTTACATAAGTGGCTTTACTTTTCTATCCATTTAGCCATGGGTAGCTTTTGCCTGCTTTATCTGCACTCAAATTGCTTTGGGCTTCTTAAAATAACTGACTGGGAATAAAATATCGTCTTGAGTGTAAAAACCAGCAGACTGCTCTTTTTACTGAATGGCAAACACCATGCCTAGCAGTCACATACATAATTGTCCTTTACGGCCTCACCCTCTCTACGTTTTGACATTAATTAATCTGAAGCAATCTCTAAACTGCCCATGGGGCCAAGACCTCACGCCTTCAAACCTTCAATTCCCATGATTGAATTTCACAGAGTTCATCTCTACAGCCCTTAACTTTGCCACTTCGCTAATGGTGAGCGAAAAAAAAAAAAAGAAGACACTAAAAAAGGAGAAAAACTCTCACCATCAGCCGTATTCGTTTTACTATCCATCATGGCCTATGGAGGGGAGGACAAAGACAAATACAGCCAGCAAGAATCTGGGCAGAAAGCAAGAAAGATGACCCCATTGGACTTTGGTGCTGCATTTCATTATCTCACTCGGCCCATTCATTCACAACCTATGGACAGACTGGGGCTCATACACACTTTATCATACACTACATTGTAGCTAACTCAATGGACTAACAAGAATGAGATGAAGATAGAGTGAACTTCCATAATGATATGATCATGAATTGAGAACAGAGAATAGGATTTTTAAATCATTGAAGTTCATTTGTTAACAAGAGTGTCTTCACTTTATACCACATGTTAAAAAACAAGAGCCAGACAAGCTAAGGGTTCTGTGAGGCTGAACTACTCAGACAGTGATGTGAGGAGCTGCAAGCTATCTTCACCATGGAAAAGCTAACATGAGATACCAAGATGTTTTTCATTTACAATGTTTACCATGTCTTTCATCTTAGTTTAGCTTGTTAGCATGCTAACATTTGCTGATTCCACTAAACACAAAGTCTAGCATTGCTGCTGAATCAAAAGTCGGTGCAGGAAATGCCTGCACCAGATGTCCTTTATATGATAGCTCATGATCGATATGTTGCTCATGGAAAAGTCTAGGGATCAAACCAGTCATATAGTGTTGGTTAACCAACTTAAAAAAGAAAAAGATTGCTAGTGGAAAACTCAATGTCGTTCAGTTAATGATTTTGGAACCATGATATTTTGAATTGACTCTGATATCTTTTTTAGGAAACCCATTGATTTTGTCATGTTTACTTCTAGACCATATGTGTCTAAATGGTGGACCAAAGTTGCCATCACAAGAGCCAAGGTGAAAATGGAACAGCATCCAAGTATCAGCATTACCTCAGACTGAAGACACTACAGCTCCGGAACTGCTGGTCTCTGCTGTCGCAGACATACTTCCTCTGACACTGAGACAGTTATGGCATCATCGTCCAATCCTTCCTGCCATGGAGCGTGGCAGTTACAGTAGACTTTGTGGAGTCCTGACTCTACACGGCCCTAGATGATGCTGCTGCAGGGGCGCAGTAAGGCTGAGTAAGCCTGAGAAATCGCACGGCTTTGGCCCTGCTGCAGCGTGGGACGGCTCATTGAGTCTGCAGGTACAGCGCTGAGAGTGAGGGATGACTGCAGTCTTTCACAGATGGCTGACTTTTCTCTCTCTCTCTCTTTCTAACTCTTCTATCTTTTATACACTTCCTCCCTCTACCCCTGTCCTTCTTTTTCTCTTGGGAAATGACCCCTCCTCTTTCTCATTCACCTGTACTCTCTCACCTCTCAGAGTCGGGCATTCTTACACAATCCTGCATGTGTACCAGCATCAGAGCGTGCACATATCTCAACCTCTGCATGTGAAAGTGTTGCATATCTTTGTCATTGAGCCTATGTGTGTTTTGCACACCCCAGTGGCTGGATGTGTTTGCAAGGAGTGAGCTGACCTGGAGCTTGAAGCGGCAGAGAAACTGCATGACAGATGGCCTGTTTGAGAGAATGATTCGGGGGCTCGGCTACGGTCAACTGCAGTTTGGCACAAAGGAAAGAGGTTGGCCTGCTGTTAGCATCTCCGCTGCCTCCATCGCTGTATTCCAAATTCACAAGAAGAAAACACAGCATGAAGACATGCCAGGGATGGATTTCAATTCCGTCTCCTCCCGTATTCTCAAGATGAAAGTTGCCCTTCAGTTCCTTTCATTATGACATTACTTTGACAATATCGAAGCGCTGAATTGCAAAGTAGAGCAATTTTTTTTGTGCTCAAAAAGTGGAGTGATAAAACGCCACGAACACACACATGCACACACAAATAAAAATGCAACCTGCTGAGATCTTAGACGACCAGGTGAAATATAGGAGGCTCCCTCTGTAACTGAATTTTTTGGTTGTTGCCTGGCAACTTGAGTCCATTTGCCTGACATCAAAACAGGAATGCTGAGCAACTGAGGTGGCCACACACAACACACACACACACACACACACACACATACACACACACACACACACATACACCAGTGGAGAGTTCAATGCCAGAGTGGGTTTGATTGATTCTGTCTCAGGCCTCCCATCATGAACTAATGTACTCCCAATCATCCATCACTGAGTCTGGTGGCTCAATGGAAGACACTGCATTGTTTTTTCCTGGTGAAACTTGTTCGTTCTGTGCAGCTAAGGCAGCCGAATCCTCACTCTGAAGTTTAGCTAGAGCTCTGTGGGTTTTGCTTTTGCCTGTGAGCAAGTACAAAATCTATTGTAAGAGAGAGAGTAAGTCATGCAGAGTAAAAGAGAGTCTGAAGTTCCTGAAGCGCAGAGAAATAGCTCTGGAGGTCACGGCACTTGCAGCAAACGAAACTATATTTGATGGCTGACTCGTCTAACTAACTTTTAACTTGCGCGCAAAGACAGTGTGTTATTTTATTGTTTTTTCTTGGTTCTTCATTATATCTGTCAAGGCCTTTGGCACCCCAAATCTTCAATCTCCAATCTGTTCTGATACTTTTAAGACAGCAGATCAGCTCCCTTTGTCATCTCCCTGCGCGGAAACAGAAAAGAAGAGGTTACCCACGCGTTTCCCAGAGTAGCACGGAGGCCACTTGAAATGTAAATCTCAGCTTTGCTTCCTCTTGGTCGTGGGAAGCTACATTTTTATGAAAATTACCTGATTTGAATTTAGATGTCGGTCTTCAGGAGCCGGAGCTTTCACTGGGGCACGTTCCTGACGAATGAGGAGGCGTTTTAACGGGCTGTTGTTGTCTTGGCTGCATGTCTGTCAAAAAGATAGACACAAGCTTGCTGTCAGAGCCCTAAAGCTGTGTTCGACACTGTTTGGGCTGTTTAGGCTTGATGGAAGGACGCATTCATACACGGGGGGATAAATAGGTAATTGAACTGAGTATGTCAGTATTAAAATTCACAAAGGAACAAAAACACACGGCTGCCACTCTTCTCTCACACATTTGTATATGACTAAATATTTTACTTAAAAAAGAAAAGAAAAGAAAGACCGAAATTCAAGACAGAGTGAAAAAAAAGAACACAACTTCATTCAGTGATCTTTTTTTTTTGTTGCTAAAAACTGTTCTTTGCTCTTACTAAACACTCAATCCACTTTACAGGAGGGCTGGATTACAGAAGTTAAAGATATGCATGACAGGGTTCAAGCCCCACTTGAAGTAAGTGTCCTCTCTGCTGAAGTGTCCTTGAAACTGAATCCTAACCATGCTCCGCCAGAAGCGATATTCTACCTTCTAAGGCTTTGCTTGTGAGAATTTTTTGAATGACTTTACAATAGTGTCACGTGAAGCCTACTGTTATCACTTTACTGTCTTCTATTATGAAACAAATTCCACCAGGTAGCAGTTCATATGTGGCAGGAGGAACTCAAACCTCCAGGATGTTTTATTTCAGTCACTCCTTCCTTTGTTTCTTCTTCTCTGGTACTTTCTGAAAGTGCCCTTGCTCCTCCAAGTCCCCCGCTGGCACTGGTACGATTTCCATGTGGGAGAAGTGTCATGTTTTATCGTTATCTGTTCCTTACTTATCATTGTCTTTAACTCATATTTTTATAATGGCTGTCCCAACTTTTCAATATAAGAATTTAAACTGGGAAAGACAAGCTAGCCTAAATGAGGCTAAATTAAGCTACAAGCTATGTGAGTAATTAGGTCTAATGTTTTTATTTGCTAGGGGGAAATACTCAGTTAGCAAAATGAACATGGAGATTCTGTTTCATTATGTGTCAGGTATGCTTTTTAAGTTTAATATCCACTCTTAATGTTTTGCCGCTGTCGTTTTAACGATTCAATTATATATTTTATATTAGGCCTACTGATAACATACAAATTCTAGCTTTTAAGTTACAAGCTGTCTTGCGTTTTTTTGTTTTCTATGTGTGTAAGAGCAGGATTGTAAACTAAGAATGCCTTAGAAATGATGCTGAGATTCTGTTTCAAGTGAATGTTATCATACCTTAACTGTATTCTAATTTTATTCCATGGTTAAAGTTTTATGTAAAGGTGCGTACATATCATCTGACCTTCCAGCCAAACAGGACAGCACCATATTCCACTGTTAAAGCAGAGGTCTAACTCTCCAGATCGACCTCATCCCACTTGTAGCTCCAGTGGTTAGGGTGTTACATTGTTCTCCTCCTCCTCCTCCTCCTCCTCCTCCACCTGCAGGACAGCTGTGCGCCGCTGCCACGTCTCTCCTGCTTGTGCCGGAGTGGACGCACGAAGTGGGGGCGCACTCCTCAGCCATCAAAACCCAGCTCGTGCCGATACGCAGCTGTGACTGAGAGCAGCATTGGACACATCGCTCACAGATACTCCATGTGACTTCTTTATTTTGTAGTTGAAGGACCCTTTTTGTTGGGTTTTTTTTTGTACGCCGCCGTTGCTTTTTGGCAACGCTTCCCCCCCCCACCCCCCCTGAAAGCGGAGGCGCATTGTCTGTGGCGCAGCGCGACAGTGCGGTGTCCGATTACAAGCCGTGCGCTGAAGAGCCACCGGCACAGAGCGCTCCACTGTGGGGGCAGAAATAGCTCACAGTGCTCCGGAGGGACGAGAGAGAAAGAGCCTAAGGGAATCTGTGCAGACAGAGACAGAGGAGTTTTACCGGCAGAGGTCGATTTCTGACACAGCTGAACTGAGGATTTATCATCTTCAGCTCATTTTAATTTCTTATTTCTACAAAATACTCCACTCACCGGCAGCTTCGCTCCCTGCTAGATGAACGGGAATTGGGCACCTCACTTGGTGAGTGAAGCTTATTTCATAATTGGTTGTGTTTTTGTCATGTAGAATGCTCGCTGTTTTCTGCAGACTGTTCGTTTGTGAACGTGAGGTAGTTGTTTTCTCCTAGATATCATTGTATGACTTAAATGCTGCTTGTTATGTATCCCATGTCACAGTCATACTACCCTTTATGATGGGTTGAAATTGTTGCAGAAATTAGGAATTGCAGCTTTTTCAGGAGGCATTCACTATTCCACCACTCCCGGACCCTATCGTAAATAATCAGTTCTAGAAGTTTTGATTGTTGCTTTGCGCTGTCTGACCACTTGGTGGTGCTGGCAGAGTGCAACCATCACCTGTTTCCTGAGAGATTTAAACTAAATGTTGTATTCCTCTACTATTTCAGTGTCGTCTGACAATTGATTAGCGTTAAAGGCAAAAGTGTCATCAGCAAAAGAAAACTGCAGTCAGGGTCATTTTTTTTAAAGGAGAAGCATGAAAACAATTTGATCAATTGAAAAAAAGCAAAAGGTCCCTTCAGGAGTCTTTAAAAATCCTTGTAAGCCCAAATGCAAACCTCAGTCGTTCCTGGATAATTGTGTTGATTTAGGGTCAGGGTTCTCTGTTTTTACATTTGACTTTTAAAGTGCATTTCCTTCTATTTAAGTAGAAAAATCAGAATGTGTGACCTTTATGATGCTGATTGTGCACTGTATAATGCTCGTATAGGCCTATTTGGCATTTCATTTCATTTCAGAGTTTGTAAAGGTGCAATTTTTTTTTTTTTAATCCTGCATATGCCTTTGTCAAGGTTTCTCGACCTTCCAGCTATACACTTTCAACTTCAGTTTTATTCACACAATGACGCTGTAGAGAAAGTGCTGAGTCCTTGAAGTTCTCAGAGTATGGCTTTGTATTATTAAGAAGAAAAGTTATTTTACAAGCAGCATTAGAGGCATTTGAACTTTTATCTTACTCAACAAATTCCAATTTAAAACCAAACATTTCTCTTCCACAAAAGCAATTCTTAAACAGTAGTTGTGAGTGAGCAATTTCAAGAAGAACTCCTGTTAAAGGCTCTGCTTGGGCTTCCTGCCGGTGAAAAAGCGTGATTGATGTTGTGCAAGAGATAAAATATGTGTTTCAGAGTAGCTCTACTCAGTTTGCCCACGGCTCTGTCCTTGGCTTTTTTTTTTTTTTCGACCCACAGCAGGTTCAGATTAATTCCAATCTCCAACGCTGATCGTTCTGATTAGTCCACAATTATCCGAGCATAATTGTCATCTAAGTCACTTATTTACCACAGTTTTTTCATGCCCGAGGCCAGAACCTTTTAAGAAAACATGCAAATGTTACCTCTCAGATGTTGTGTCCAGAGTTTAAAGCACTGAGCAGATCCCGTTTTCCACCTCATTCCATTGGTATTCAAGCGGCTCCACGGTTGTTTTGGTCGTGCAAGCTTTCAGGACTTGAAAGCAGCAGTTCTGATAAACACAGTGAGCCTCCTCTGATCTTATGGCCTCAGACCCATGAGGATGCTGCGGCTCATCCGTCCTGTCACACTGTGCTTACCAATAGAAAAAAAAAGGACCGCAATCCAGATGGTACAACGGCTACAGACTCTCAACATCTAGGCATTTATTCGACGTCCAATGCTCGGTATCTCTACAGGAAAGGCCAGGAATAAGATATGAAAAAGATACTGAAAACTAGCGAGACAGAGAGAGAGAGAGGGATGATGTGAAAGTGCTGAATCAAGGAATTATGTCATAGGATGCCTTTTGGCTGAAAGTTGCCAGTTTATATTGCAGCTGAGGAGCCAGAATCCGCTGCATAAAGAAACAGGACATTAGAGTTAAACTATTGGGTACTTCAGGCTGTTGGTTGGATCGAAAAAGAACCTAATACAGGAACCTCTTCTGAAAATATGGTGTGAATTTAGTCAGACTATTTCACACCCCAATATAATAACTTTATTGATAAGTTATTCAAAGATCAATTGACTGCGGAATATTATGATATTTAAATATCAGTCCAACCCTCGGGAGTTATAACACAGATGATAAGCGGGAGGCGAAGATGCAGCGTGAAATCCAGCCTCAAGTTCCAGCGCCGAGTGAAGAGCAGCATGTGATTAGCATGATTGATATTTGCGCCGCGTTGGGAATTTGCCCGAGCGCTGACACAGAACGCGAGCGCAAACACAGCAATTAGTCCCCCAGCGCAGGAGAATGCCATGATGAAAATGGCCCGTGTGGCCTCGGAGGGCTGTGCGGTCTCCATGGAAACCCTTTTGAGTGACATCTCATTGTCGTCGACCTCTTTGTGATTCTGTACCACCCACCGGAGGGGTCGAGCGAGCCTGTTGGGAGTGAAAGTGAAAGGCATGATCATGCACGTGTAAACTAAACAGCCATTACCCTCTGGCCCCTTTGGGTACTTATTTATCTGACAGCAGCAAGACGGAGCTTTGAGACTGTTTGTACGCGTACACACAGACTTACAAAAGAGCTGAGTTTTTATGGCTGTGCATCACATTGGAAGCCCTGGTTTTACAAACTCATGAGGGGGGGGGGGGGTGTTTGTTGCTCTTATGCAAGGAAACTTTGAGATGCTAACAATAGTTGAAGTGGTTTGCTGTTCCTCCCCACTGTGCTTTGTCCTCTCACTACCACAGGCTATTTATACATCACAACCACTTTGCCATTATCTCATCCCGCCCTTGTTCTCCCTTCCACTGCTGATTGCAGAAGAGTAGTAGCTCCAGAGAATCATCCCACACGAGAAGAGAGACTGACTCAAAATATTTACATTCATTTTCAGAGCTTTATTTATTTGTCCTAGCAGTATTTTTCAAATCCATTTCTGACCCGTTTCTGCATAACAGACTAAGTTGCCATGGTGTCAGTAAACATTTTTCTTCCCATCATTCTCAGTTTATAGTGAGATGGCACGATGTTGCCACGGATACTCAAAGGTTTCCTGCAGGGGGGATTTGAGTGCCTTGTCTGCCACAAAGGAAATGAAAACATTGGCAAACTGAAAGTTTATCACTGACACAACTTCTCTTAAGAGGCCAAAGTGTCACAGGGGTTGTCATGGAGACCATGAGGAAGCTATCAAGCGGGATGCACAATGCGACCTCATAGCATCTGTTGTTTATCCTCACATAAGTATGCATACGGCTCTGTCGCTGCCATACAGACAGGGCTGATCTTTTTTCTGCCAAGGTCATCTCTGAGAGGTTTGGCCAAAAAAAAAAAAAGTAATCATGGCATTATTTCAAACTAACTTTGTAACTTTATTTTCAACCTAAAGTAGATTGTAATGCCACACAGCTAGTAAAAACAAATCTGAAATCAAATGTTCAGGCATACAGAAACAGACTGTTCAAAGTCTATATGATCGTAACAATCCCATTATCCCAGTATCCTTCTAAAGCCTTGGGTAAAACTTGTTTTCTCAGCAAATAGATGGTATGGTGTTGATAAAGAGTTAAATGGTTGGGAATTCCTCTGAAGCACACACACACACTCTCTTTCTTTTTACTTTAGGCTATGACATTTTTTTTAAAGTATGTGATACTTGCACCAAACCCGAGGGGATTTTCCCAAGATATAAAAAAGTTGCAGAGAAATGTGATTTCAGATCCAGAGTCACTTAAGATTATATAGCCCACTCCTTTCCATGCAGCAGTGATCTGTAGTAAACACAGGTCGGTTCAACTTGATTATGAGTGATTACACTGTCTAGACTGCACAAATACATCGGCTTTGAAACATTGCCGTGTATTTATGTAATTTTTGGTAATAAAAAAAACAAGAAACTATCCAATATTGGGAGCTCAGCCCTTCTATTTTTTGTCGCCATCGTATCAAAACAGTTATGGTCAGATTTGAACTAGTATCACATCAAAGTTTAAATCCTGTTGTTGTGAAAACCCTACAGGCTTGACATATGGACAAGAACAAAACATATATCCATTGATTGCTACAACAGCTCCACACCCTTGCTGGTAATCAAAAAAAAAAAAAATTCTGCAGAAATCTTGCTTGAATAGGAGTTACTGCTTTTGGTGGAGAGATTGAAATGAAATGATAAAGATCAGATGAACAGAGTGTGCGAAAACACAAACACAGCAGTTCTCTAATGGGACAGATTCTTGTTAAACAGGAAGCGAGCATTGTTAGATTTTCCCACTGCATGCTAAACAGCAGAAACAGCACAGCGGCAGGTGTAGGGAATCATTTGAGTTTACAGTGCTGCAGGGAAGCTCGGGCAAGCAATATGCAATCCTGAATGTGCTATTATTTTCAAGAACCAAAGTCTGTGGTTGGGAGTTAAAACATCCAGCCTCGTGTCCTCACGTCAAAGGGAATTAATGCCGCTAATGCAGCCTTCACTCTCCGCCACTGTTAGACCACATTAGCTCTGTCCCTCTCAACCTCAAACCCTGCTCAAATAACAAGAGGAATCTGTCTTTTTTTAACCACCATGCCGGTACAGGAGGAAGAGGGAGACTCTATTTGGGTCACGATTAAATAATCCCCAAAGCCTCTTTTTCGCTGGGGGATCAAGCAGAGGGGGATGTTTGAAAGGTTAAACAGAGTCGGATCCAAACTTTGTTGACAACAGGAGAAGTGATTATTGTGAACTCCGTTAAGTTTGGAGTTGGTTGTATTGCTAGAGAGGGAAGGAGGAGGAAGATGAGGAGAGGGAAGAGAAGATGTGAAATGAGTCAGGGGGGGAAAAAGCGAGGAAGGGAAGGTAGAGTCTTTTTCTGGTCTTTGTTTATTGAGTGATTAAGCACCAAAGGGCCATTCGAAGGGTGAATGAGTCATGAGTTGTCACCAAACATACACTCAGGAAGCAACACTATTTTTCCTCTCTCTGGGCAGTCATGCAGCTGTATTTCTCTGGAAGATGAATGACTTTGAAGCATGAATGAGAGGATCATTTGATAGCTATGCTCGGCTCGTATATTTCTCTTGTACAGGAGCTTCTTTTTTCTTCTTCCAGGC